CTGGTCTTGAACTCCTGACCTCAGGGGATCTGCCCCCTTCAGCCTCCCAAAGTGCTAGGATTACAGGCATGAGCTACTGCGCCCAGCCCCACTGTATGTATCCTGTCAATACTGCTCACTGACAACTTGAATAAAATTGTTTTTTCTTTAAATAAGTAGGGAGAATGAACATTGAGAAGGAAACAGTATTTGCTATATTAGGACTATCAAAATAAGTCCATGTACTCGATAAAATGCTATTAAATTAGAAAAAAAATACCAAATATAGTCAATTTTCTATTTTAACAAACTAGATCACTCAGGAGCTATTTGGAAATGCCTTTTTGAATATTTGGTGTATTGATGTTTTAGAATACACTACATATAAAATGGTATAATAAGATTTTCAGGACAGCTATAGCCATAAATGCTTATATTAAAACAAAAAGGCTAAAAATTAATGAGCTAGTGGCCCAACCTACAAATGAGATACTGATGAAGCATTTATGCCTTTTGTTCTCAGTATAAATTACTGTGTGGCCACTCAGTTAAGAGCTGAGGCATCCTAACATTGATTACATTCCTACAGCTTCCTCTATATAAGTTCTCTCATGTATAAAGGGAGAAATCACTGAAAATTTTTCCAAAATTAATACTCATGGGTATTGCAGCCAAGGAACATTTCCTATCTTTCCTAATGGAAGAAGTATCACTGAAAATTTTCTCTCATCCTTTATCTTAAGAAGTTCTGGCTGGGTCTGGTGGGTCATTCCTGTATTCCCAGCACTTTGGGAGGCTGAGGAGGTAGATTACTTGAGCCCAGTTGTTTGAGAGCAGCCCTGGCAACATGGTGAAAACCCATCTTTACAAAAATGGGGCATGGTCATGCATGCCTGTAGTCCCAGCTACTTAGGAGACTGAGGTGGGAGGATCCCTTGAGCCCTGGAGATAGAGGTTGCAATAAGCCAAGATAACACCACCACAATCCAGCCTGGGCTCAGATGAAATCCTCTCTTAAAAAAAAAAAAGTGGCTGGGCATGGTGGCTCAGACCTGTAATCCCAGCACTTTGGGAAGCCAAGGTGGGGGGATCATGAGGTCAGGAGTTCGAGACCAGCCTGGGCAACATGGCGAAACCCTATCTCTACTAAAATACAAAAAATTAGCTGGGCGTAGTGCCAGGCGCCAGTAATCCCCACTACTTGGGAGGCTGAGGCAGTGAGGCAGGAGAATTGCTTGAGCTGGGGAGGTGGAGGTTTGCATTGTGCTGAGATTGTGCTACTGTACTCCAGCCTGGGCAACAGAGTCAGACTCTGTATTCAAAAACAGTAGTTTCTTTACACTGAGTTAGGTTTCTAAAAAATGTAAAAACCTAATGGAATTCATTGGTCTTTCTGGTATGAATCTTCTTAAAAACTGAGAGAATATTCAATGCTTTTATATCTTACCAAACCACATTGTCTTGTGCTTAGTAATATGACTGCTTGTGTTGTTGGCTTTTCACACTTTGTATACTCAACATACTCCTCTGTTGTATGGTTTCTGAAATGTGACTTCAGGAATGAGTGTGCCCTGAACGCTCTTCCATTTTGATGCCACATATAGGGCTTCACCTTATTGTGAGTTGCCACGTGACTCCCTGGAGCCATCACCAAAGGCGTTCCCACAGCTACTGTGTTCCCTGGGCAGCTCTCCAGTAGGTAACTTTTTAAGTAGGGGGAAAGAGTTTGACCTCAAGGTTTTACAACAATACGGGTTACACTCATTAGGTTTCTCTCTGCAGTGAGTTAACCTGTGGGTTATTGAATGCTACTCCATGTTGATCAGGTTAGAAGGTGAAGGGTTGGCTGGGTGTGGTGGCTCACACCTGTAATCCCAGTACTTTTGGAGGCCAGGATGAAAGGACTGCTTGAATCTAGGAGTTGGAGACTTGCCTGGGTAACATGGCAAAACCCTCTCTCTAGTTTAAAAAAAAAAAAATTAGCCAGGCGTGGTGGCATGCACCTGTAGTCCCATTGCTACACTGCAGGCTATGGCAGGATGACTTGAGACCAGGAAGTGGAGGTTGCAGTGAGCTGTGATCACACCACTGCACTCCGGCCTGGGTGACAGAGTGAGACATTGTCTCCAAAAAAAAAAAAAAAAGAGACACAGGGTCTGCTGAAGGCTTTCCTCCACTGATTCCATGGCAGACTTCGCAGATGGTTCCCAGTGTCTGCTGTTTATACCTCCTGGAGTCTTCTTCCAAACTGTATCAGGATTGGTGTGTGTGACCAATATAACAGGGACATGAAAACCTATCTATCTTTCTGAAGCTAGGTCATAAAAGACATTATGATGTATTGGCTTCTTTAGATAACTGGCTTTGGGGAGAACTTGCTGCCATAAAGAAACTTAGCCCTGTTGAGAGGCCTACATGATTTGGAAGTGTAGATCCCTTAAAAACAGCTAGCATGAACTTGTCAGGCATGTGAGTGAGCCGTTTTGGAAGCGGACCTTCCATCAGGACAAATGCTGGATGATTATGGTTCTGCTGACATTTGGACTGTAACCTCATGCGAGATCCTGAAGAACTACAGAGCTATGTTGTTTCTCAATTACTTACAAAAATTGTGACAAGTTTTGTTGTTGGAAGCCACAAAATTTTGGGGGGTAATTTGTTACACAGTGGGAAGTAATTCCTATATCTGGTCGGGGTTCTCTCATGTTATCTGAGGATGAAAGATCAACAAATGCTTTCCCCACAGTTTTTGAATTCACAATTGTCTATTATGTATTCTCTTATACAAAGAAAGGTTAGAGTTAGTAGCAAAGGATTTCTCACAATGATTACATTCATGGGGCTTTTCTCCAGTGTGCGTTCTCATGTGTTTCTTAACTGATGAGAGAACATTAAAGGCTTTTCCACAGTAATTGCATTTATAGGGTTTCTCTCCATTGTGTACTCTCCTGTGTACTGTAAGAGAAAATCTATGGGTGAAAGATATTCCACACACATTACATTTGTAGGGTTTTTCTCCAGTATGAGTTCTTAAGTGTTGTGTCAGATTTGTGCTCCTCGTGAAAGTTTTCCCACAATCGTGACATTCGTAAGGTTTCTCCCCTGTGTGAATTCTACTGTGGAAAGAGATGACCTTGTGTGGAAAGCCTTTCCACACTGATTACATACATAATGATTCTCCCCCGTATGAGCTCTCTTGTGGCTTGTGAAGACAGACAGAGTGCGGAACTTATGAAAACGCCAGTTACATTTGTAGGGTTTTTCTCCAGTGTGAAATCTCCAGTGCATTCTGAGGGATGAGGAATTAATGAAGGCTTTCCTACAGTCACTGCATTCATAGGGCTTCTCCCCATTGTGGATTCTCTTATGAATAGTAAGGTAACATCTAGTCCTGTAGGATTTACCACACTCACTGCAGTCATAGGGTTTTTCTCCAGTATGAATCCTCTTGTGCCGTGTAAGGGAAGATTTTGAGCTGAGGACTTTAAAACACTGATTACATTTGCTGAGTTTTGCTCCAAGATGATTTGTCTCCTGTTGATTAAGAGATGACCAGTAAGTACAATTTATAATATTTTTAGCACTGAATACTGTCATGGGTCCCTCTCCCAGGAATTCTGTTGTGTATCATGGTATTAGAATTAATGTTTTTGCCACTATGAGTGTGCTGGTACATGGCTTCTGTCAGTTTGATTCATAGAATTTAAAAAAGATGGATTCTTTCTACACATCTTTATCATATTCATAGTGCATTTTTCTAATAAGTTTAAGGCTAATTTTTCTTTTTTTTGTTTTTGTTTTGGAGATGAAGTTTCGCTCTTGTCACCCAGTCTGGAGTGCAATGGCATGATCTTGGCTCACTGCAACCTCCATCTCCTGGGTTCAAGCGATTCTCCTGCCTCAGCCTCCCAAGTAGCTGGGAGTACAGGCTTGTGCCACCATGCCCAGCTAATATTTTTGTATTTTTAGCGGAGATGAGGTATCGCTATGTTGGCCAGTCTGTTCTCAAACTCCTAACCTCAGGTGCTCCACCCACCTTGGCTTCCCAAAGTGCTGGGATTACAGGCGTGAGCCACTGCGCCCGGCTATTTTGTTTGCCAAATACCCAATATCTGACTCAGACTACTGGATGTATTTACTTGTGGGACTTCTGAAAGAGTTTGGGGCTAATGCTTTTCTCCAAATTCTAAATGATTTCACAGTATCTCTCCAGAGACACTATTTTCTCTTGGAAAAATGACACTTTCCCTTAATAACTATTTAATAAAGCCACTCTTTGTGGCTTTTCTCGTGTAGAGCATTCTCCTACCATGAAATGCCAGAAACCACCCATGTTAGTCTTACCATTTTCGTATTTCTAGATTGTTCTTTTCGAAAAACATGTAGCTTAGAAGGTAACCCGCTGGCTTCAAGTGGAGTCTCCACATCTGAAACAAGTTAAAAAGAAATTTAAGTTGATAGGAAAGTGGCAATTTTAAGTTGATGGTGAAATGGTAAAAATGCATATATGAGTGAAGGCAGAATCTGAGACAAGGGCTTTTGAGAAGGCATTCAACAAATGGGATAAGGACGTGAAAATTTTAGGCAATGTTTAATCAAGATTCTAGCAAGATAGAGATTGATGTTGGCAAAACGAAGAAACTGTCAGGAAGGCAAGGTGGACTGAAACTGCTCAAAGAACTCATAGGAGACTTACATTTAAGAAGAAGAGACGTGTCCTTTTTTTTTTTTTTGAGACGGAGTCTGTCGCCTGGGCTGGAGTGCAATGGCGCAATCTCAGCTCACTCCAACCTCTGCCTCCCGGGTCAAAAGATTCTCCTGCCTCAGCTGTTGTACCCAGAGCAAGTTTAAAACAGAAGCACCACACTGAGTTCGTTGAGAGTCTGTTTAATGCCGGTGTCCAAGAGTCAGCTGTTGCTCAAACCTCTCAGCCCCGAACAAAAGGCAGACAACGTTTTTATACCTTTGCGGGGTTAGGGGGTGGAAGACAAATTGTTACAGAAGCAGAAAGAGCAGGTTAGGGGAGGGGGGACCTAACAACAAAGATTCTATTTAAAGTTGTTTGTCAAGCAGGATGTGGGGTAGGCAGTGACACTGCTGCAGGTACAGGATATGTGGGCCAGTGGGCCGTGTTTCTCAGAAAAACAGGTTACAAAATACCAGGTGCCTCAGGCTACAGAGTTTCAGGAACAAAGTGCTCTACATAGCTCAGGGTGGTTAGAACGGAGTTAACAGGATTGCTTAAAATGGAGTCACCATAGACAGGCTAGATTATGTCACTGGAATTCACCTCTCCAAGGGCCAGCTCTGAACCCTGTGTGAATTAGAATGGCCAACCTTTAACGTGGGATGGCCGAACACAGGCCCTAACATGGTCCAGGCAGTTTGAAGGGTAGTCACAAGAAACCCAGGTCACCCCAACCAGTTCCTGTATATTGATCAGTAGCTAAGGCTGGTCCTGAACCCACCACCGTGGCTGCAGTCCTGCACAGCTCAAAACCCTGCCTCTAAGGTACTCAACCATACTACTCGGTTGCCACCCTCTTCACCTCGGCCCCTCCAGTCCTGCCCCGTCTGGGGAGGACAGAGGTCTCCCCCTGATCCTCCCTCCGCTCTACGACCCCGTTGTTGCCCATCGTTACTTTTCCTGTACCCCCCAATGCATCACCACCTGTGGGCTCCAGGCTTTGGCCACAACAGGAGGTGGAGGCTGCTCCCCTCCTTCCTTTGAGGGAGGCACCGCCTCCGGCTGGTGGTGAACAATCAACCCCATTTTTGGTTTATGTCCCATTTTCCACCTCTGATTTACATAATTGGAGAACTCAGAACCTGCTTCTGACCTCCTGGTGGAATCCATACTCCAGACTCATTGTTCTACTTGGGATGACTGTCAGCAAATCCTCCACTCTTTTTACTGCAGAGGACAGCGACTGTATCTGAAGGGAAGCAGGGAAACACTTCACCTCCACTGGCCAACCTGAAGAGGAGGGCAGGAACCGGTTGGAGGAAGTTTTCCCCTCAACCAGACCAGACTGGACCCTAACTCGGCGGGGAGAAGGGCTTTGGACAACTTCCACCAGTATCTTCTCTCAGGTATTAAGGGAGCTGCATGGAAGCCTATGAATTTATCTAAAACCACAGAAGTGGTCCAGGGGACCAATGAGTTTCCAGGGGCGTCTCCAGGAGGCCTGTCATACTTAACACCCCATTTGATCTGGCTGCACCCAAAAAAGAAGCGCTTTAAATTTGGCTTCTGTAACTCAGGCAGCCCCAGACATCTGGAGAAAATTACAAAAGCTGGAGGGATTTGCTGGAATGAGTATCACATAACTTTTAGAAATAGCCCAAAAGGTGTTTGTTTGATAACAGGGAAAAACAGGCAGCCCAAGCTGCTTGTGACAAGGCTTCCAAAAGACAGGTAAAAATTTTGGTGGCTGCCCTCCAGGAGGTACAGGGAAGACCCCTTCCCCAACAAATCAACAAAAAGAACAAGGGCCGTCAGTTGGGGGCCCGAGCACTGCTCCAGTGAAAAATAAGTGCCCCAAAAGACAAGGAACCGAAAAGAAAACCCAAAAAATTGCTAGCCTTGGAGGAGCTAGATTGATAGGGCTGGGGCTCATTCTTGCTTGGCCCCCAGGAGCCCATGGTCAGCACCACAGTATGGGGTCACCCTGTAAAATTTTTAATTGAAGCTGGAGCAGAATGCTGAGTATCAAAAACACCTTTGGGCCAGGTCACCAATCACAAAAGGAGCAGTTCAAGGGGCCACAGGGACTATCTGCAGCTACCCAGAAGTAAACCTAGGCCAGGAAAGAGTAACTCATTCCTTCTTGGTAGTTTCGGAGTGCCCGTATCCCCTAATGGGAAGATATCTACTCCATAAACTGCAAGCCTCTATCTCTTTCTTAACCTGAGGAACTCATCTCAACTTAGAAGACCAGGATTCATCAACTACCCACCTCTTACTGACCACCCCTGTGTCAGAAGAATACCTCCTGGTTTTAAACACCCCAGCCATAGCCTCAGAAAACGGCTCACTTATGCTGGAATTAGAGGCCTAGTTTCCCCACTTTTGGGCGGAATCAAACCCCCTGGGACAGTGGAGTTGTTGGCTACAGCTCTACTGGTACAAGTAAAACAGTATCCCATGAGTCAAAAAGCCAGGGAAGGCGGAAGTCCACACATACAGTGGCTACTGCAAAGCGGCCTGGAATACTCCATTCCTGCCAGTAAAGAAGCCTGGCACCAATGACTATTGGCTGGTCCAGGATTTGCAGGATGTTAACAAGCAGTCTAGTCACTGTTCACCCAACTGTCCTGAACCCATACATCCTCCTCAGCCTGCTCCCGCCAAACCATACAGTATACACTGTTTTGGATCTTAAAGGACACCTTCTTTGCCATCCCCTTGGCTGCCAGCAGCCAGCCAATCTTTGCTTTCAAATGGACAGATCCAAACTCAGGAGACACCACCCAACTTACTTGGACCCACTTATCCCAGGGGTTCAAGAATTCTCCTACCCTTTTTGGAGATGTTCTCCAACAGAACCTAGTGCCTTTCTGAGCCAGCCATCCAGACTGCACCCTTCTCCAGTATGTAGATGACTCACTGCTGGCCACGGAAATGGCCAACAGCTGTCTACAACATACAAAAGACTTGCTGTGTCTCCTCCAAGGACTTGGATACCAAGTCTCAGCAAAAAGGCCCAAGTCTGCCTCCAGAAGGTACTTTTACTTAGGATGTGAACTCACCAAGGGAAAGCGAGCACTTTCCAATGCTCGAAAACAGGCTATCTTGCAAATTCCAACTCCTACCACAAAAAAACAGTTGTGGAAACTCCTGGGGGCAGCAGCGTACTGCCGCCTCTGGCTTCCAGGGTTCACAGAAATCACAAAGCCCCTCTACACCGTGACCAGTGGAAGTAGAGAGCTGGTTTACACTGAGACAGAGGAACGGGCCTTCCAGAACTTCAAAAGGGCTCTCACTGAAGCACTGGCTTTGGCACTCCCTGATGTGTCAAAACCTTTCCACCTGTTTGTCCATGAAAACAAGGGCATGGCCAAGGGAGTCCTCACCCAGTCCCTGGGACCATGGTGGCGGCCAGACACCTACTTATCAAAAAAATTGGACCCAGTGGCTTCAGGTTGGCCAAGCTGCCTGTGGGCAGTGGCAGCTACTCCAAGTTTGGTCCAGGAAACCGGTGTTAACCTTGGGCCAAGAACTGACCCTTACGGCACCCCATGCAGTGGCAACTCTGCTCAGGAGTGCCTCGGGAAAATGGATGTCAAACTCACGGATCTTACAGTACCAAAGCCTGCTACTGGACCAACCCAGGCTGACTTTCCATCCTGCATGCTGCTTGAATCTGGCAACTTTGCTCCCAGACCCAGACTTCTCTGCTCCCATTCATGACTGCCAAGAAATACTTGAGGTCACTAAGACCAGTAGGCCAGACTTGCAAGACACCCCTCTGGACCAGGCAGACGCCACTCTGTTCACCAATGGAAGCAGTGCCGGTGCAGCTATCACAACAGATACCAATATTATTTGGGCCCAAGCACTACCGGATGGCACCTCCGCACAAAAGGCTGAACTAGTAGCCCTTACCCAGGGCCAAAGACAAGCAAGTAAACATCTACAATGACAGTCGGTATGCCTTTGCTACTGTACATGTACATGGGGCCATATACCGGGAGAGGGGATTACTTACCTCTGCAGGAAAAACTATCAGAAACAAAGAGGAAATCCTGGCCCTGCTCGAGGCCACATGGCTTCCTGTCAGGTCGCTGTAATCCACTGCAAAGAACACCAGAGAGAAACATGAGTATTGCCTGGGGAAACCAGAAGGCAGACTCTGCAGCCTATGAAGCAGCTATGCTTCCTGTCACCCCACTGACTCTGTTGCCAGTCGTATCCTACCCTAGCCAGAACTGCCCAACCATCTAACATATTCTCCAGAGGAAGAAAAGCAAGCATCAGATCTTCAGGCCAACAAAAACCAAAATGGATGGTGGATCCTGCCGGACTTGAGAATCTTCCTGCCTGAGTCCCTCGGACAGGCCCTAGTTGGCCAACTTCATTCCACCACTCACCTGCGAGGAACCAAGTTGGCTCAGCTTTTATGGGGTGCTTCAAAATCCCCCACCTTCAGGACTTTACTGACCGCTTACAGCCGCATGGCCTGTGCACAAGTAAACGCCGGGCAAGGTCCCAAACCTGAACTGGACCGCTGCCTCCGAGGATGCAGCCCAGGAGAAAGGTGGGAAATAGACTTTACAGAAATAAAACCACACCGGGCAGGATCTAAGTATCTCCTGGTGATGGTGGATACCTTTTCTGGATGGACTGAGGCGTTTGCCACTCGAAATGAAACTGCATCCACAGTAATAAACATAAATGAAATCATTCCCCGGTACAGGCTGCCAATTGCCATTGGGTCAGACAACGGTCCAGCCTTCACCATGTCCATTACTCAAGTGGTCAGTAAGGCACTAAATGTCCAATGGAAACTACACTGTGCCTACAGGCCCAGAGCTCTGGACAGGCTGAACGCATGAACCGAACTTTAAAGGACACCCTTACAAAACTCATTCTGGAGACTGGCGAGAGTTGGACAAACCTCCTTCCCCTCACACTCCTTAGAACTAGATGCTCCCCTTATCGGGCAATTCACCCTGTACAAAAATAATGTTTGGTAGAGCACCACACATTCTACCAAGGCTGAAGGATGTCCATTTGGCAGAAATCTCTCGTGCTAACCTGTTACAGTACTCACAGTCTCTCCAACAGGTACAGGACTTTATCCAGCCACTTGTTTGAGAAACATACTCGACCCCTACTTCTGACCTGCCTACATCGGGTCATCCCTTCCACCCAGGAGACCTCATGTATATCAAAGTTCCAGAAGGAAGGACTTACCCCATCATGGAAGGGACCCTACACCATGATCCTAGCAACCCCAACCGCCTGAAGGTTAACAGTATCCCCATCTGGATCCACTGCTCCGGCGCAAAGTCCACTACGGAGACTCAGCAAGCAACACGGGTCCCTGAGCCAGGACCTAATCCCTTAAGCCTACGAGATTAGGGCAGTCAGGTCAACTTAGAGGATTAACTCTGTGTGGGACAGCATCCCCTTCCAGGTAGTATTACTGACCACTTGTCCTGTGTGGAAGGAGATGTGCCTCTCTGGGACCCAACACTGGTGCGTGGTGATGGGAGCGGAAATGAGAGAGAGCACACCTATTCCCTCTAGTCTGCCCTAATCTCGGAAGTCAGCCTTCTTTTCAGTTGGGGCTCCCAGGGTGACCTCGGGATACCTTGGCTGGGATGTGGGAGATCTGACAGTGAGGAAAAGGAACTTACTGAAGTGTCCAGGAAACCCCTCAGGTGTAAACTGCCAGCAAGCAGATGAATATTTCTGCCCATATTGGTCCCGTGTAACCCTAGCCACCTATCACGGGGGACCAACAAAATCTTCAACCCTCTCTTTAGCCTGTGCTGCCCGTCCAAAAACATGCTCTATGGGATCCTCTAACCCCCTAAACCTACTATCCACAATCCCTTTGCCTTCTTTTGACCATGGGGATGACCTGGGGACTCAGGCTACATGTAACTGGATGGGATCTGGGAACTGCTCGTAATCCAAAAGGTCCTTACCTACTGGAGACTGCCAAAACCTACTGGGCCATAATGGACTTAGGGGAACCTATGTTCCAGCCCCATCCCCAGTTAAAAATTTCAGCCGGCCCACCCTGGGTGGTCTCTAGGCTCGGGCCTAAACCTCATCTAGCCCCAATTCTAATGTATATCCTTGCTGACATGCATAAGCTTCTAAATACCACCCAACCCGAACTGGCTCAAGACTGTTGGCTGTGCCTAAAGAAAAAACCTCCATACTATATGGCAGTAGGAGCAGAAAAACCTATCCCACTTGAATCTCCTCCCTGCACAAAGCCTTCCCGCTTACTCACTCTAGGTTATATTGCGGGAAATGTATCCTGCTTAATCATCTCTGGATATAACCTGTCTGCTTTTCCCTTTCAGACTACTTGCAGTCAGTCTTTACTCACTGTTATGAACTCCTCATTGTCCTGTCGAGCTCCCAATGGCATCTGGTTGGCCTGCACCTCCAGTCTCACCCGTTGCATAAATGGAACAACTCTGAAGACAAGGCCCAAACTGTGTCTTGGTCCATGTACTTCCCCAAGTATAAGCGTACAGCGGACCAGAAGGACGCCTCCTCTTCAGCCCGCCGGACTACACTCCAGGTTCAGCCACAGGGCCCCGATTCTAGTGCCTCTCTTGGCAGGACTTGGTGTAGCAGGCTGCACTGCCCTGGGGACTGCTGCTTTAATCCAAGGAGAAACTGCACTGGTGTCATTCTCCCATCGCATTGATACTGATCTAGAAGAAATTCAGTCAACCATAAACATGCTGGATGCCCAATCAGATTCCCTAGCCAAGGTGGTGCTTCAAAACCACTGAGGTTTAGATTGTTTCTGTCCCAAGGAAGACTCTGTGCTGCATTAGGGTAAAGCTGTTGTTTCTATGCCAACAAGTCTGGAGTCATCAGAGATACTCTCCAAAGAGTCAGGGATAACTTAGACAAACGCTGCTGAGAGCAGAAGAGTAATACTCCCTGGGATCAGGCACTGTTTAACTGGAAGCCCTGGCTCACGACCTTGATCACCAGGCTGGCAGGCCCCCTACTTCTCCTTTTAGGCCTAACTTTTGGACCATGCATACTAAACTGGCTCCTAAAATTCATTAGGCAGCCCACAGCCTGTCAGCCTCATGTACCTCAGAACCCACTACCATCCTGTAGATGACACTGAGGAATCCATGATTTGATTCTGCCAAAACATCAGTGGGGAATGACATAATCTAGCCTGTCTATGGTGACTCCATTCTAACCACCCTGAGCTATGTAGAGCACTTTGTTCCTGAAACTCTGTAGCCTGAGGCACCTGGTATTTTGTAACCTGTTTTTCTGAGAAACACGGCCCACTGGCCCACATATCCTGTACCTGCAGCAGTGTCACTGCCTACCCCACATCCTGCTTGGACTTTAAATAGAATCTTTGCTGTTAGGTCCCTCCTCCCCTAACCTGCTTTTTCTGCTTCTGTAACAATTTGTCTTCCACCCCCTAACCCCGCAAAGGTATAAAAATGTTGTCTGCCTTTTGTTCGGGGCTGAGAGGTTTGAGCAACAGCTGACTTTAGGACACTGGCATTAAACGGACTCTCAAGAAACTCTGTGTGGTGCTTCTGTTTTAAACTCGCTTTGGGTACAGCACAGCCTCCCAAGTAGCTGGGATTATAGGCACGCACCACCATGCCCGGCTACTTTTTTGTACTTTTAGTACAGACAGGGTTTTATTGTGTTAGCCAGGATGGTCTCGATCTTCTGACCTTGTGATCCACCCACCTCAGCTTCCTGAAGTGCTGGGATTACAGGGGGGAGCCACCGTGCCCGCCCAAGACATGTCTCTTTTTTTCTCTCTCCTGAGGCCAAAGTAAAGTATGAGATGACAGGCTGAAAGTTAAAGTAATGAAGGTACGTGAGCCTCAGACCAAACGTTCTTGGCCTTGTTGGGAAAAGGGGCATTTATGCAGTTCTCTCCCTGATATTTCCTAATGTATTATAATACTCCCAACTTCTCACTCCCTGGCCAGACCTGTTCCTCGCAATGATTTATATCCACCTGGTGCTCACCTGGTCGGGTACCTGGGACAATTCCTCTCTCTTCGGTCATCAATTTATCTTCTTGCTCCAAATGGGAGATCAGACTAGGTTTATCAACTTGGTTCCCTGTACATGGAGAAAAGGCACATGATGTAGGGGTCTGTGCAGCAGATAAGCTCCCCCATGAAGTTGAAATCAGTACTTATGAAGGTGAAGAGGTGTGACTTCAGGAGCAGAGGAATCATTATGCCAAAATTGAATATATACAGTAACCCTCTTTCACAAAAATTTTAAAAAAAGAAAAAAACTCACAAGCCTCCTCAGTCAATAGCTAGGGTGGCTGCAGGATAACTGGTCCCGGGAGCCCCAGTACAGGTTTCAGTACAGAATTTGAAAGCCCAAGATTTAACTACACAGAATATACCGTCAGTGTGGGAAGCCGAAAAGTTCCCCTTCTTGTTAAAGAATCAGTGTGCTAATAACTTTGTTAAGCCCTATCCTAGGTAGGTGTCGGAGATGCCATGCTTACAGGCACGTAGTACATTCTATGTCATTGTACTTTAACCAAGATATCTGCGCTGGATGTGCTCACAGGCATGTCCCAGCTCTCTGTTGCTTTTACCTAAGTTTTAAGTTGTTAGCCAATTGGGTTTTAGTTTAGATTGTGAGGTCTGGCTACAGCCAAAGGAGATCAGACATAGCAGTAAGGACAACCCCAAAGGTGTGAAAAATAAATCTGTGTGTTTTCCTCTGTTCATTGTATTCTTGTGGCACGATGGCTAGCATGGGTACCCTTTCCTGCAGTCCAGGAAGTAAAAACTGCATTGCTGAAGAATCCTTTGTCTCAGTGCTAATTTTTCTTTGCGGCACCGAGCATCTATTTCCAACAGTCAGGTCAAGAAGTAAATCTTCATTTCATGGGAACAGCCTGAGACAGGCAGCTCCATGAGGGTGGGGACCATGTCTGCTGTATTCTTCACTGCACACCCACATCCTAGCACAGACCTGGGAACACACGTGCTTAAGAAGGACTTAAAAGAAGTGATGTCAGTGAAAGTAGTGGAGACTAGGAACTCCAAAACTCCATCCCTTCGCAGAAACAGTAAGTAAATGGGGCAAAACCAGAATCAACTTCATTGGAACTCTGGAATGTTATCAAAAGTTTATGACCACAGGAGAATGCCTAATCAAGACAAACAGCTGAATCTGGGTAAGAGGGATTTGTGACATTTTAACTGACTCTAGCCACATACTCTATTCCCCATTTTGCCTTGGAGACAACTGTATTTCTAGTACTAAAGGTGGCACAATGCACCTTATTCTAAAACTGTGGGTGGTTGTTTGTTTTGACTGTCTGGTGGCTCCCTGATGTGCTGGGTCAAAGGGCTTCCCTTTAGTTGTGTAACTCCGAACTCCCACAGGTCTGAAGAGGCTGTACCTGTGGAAGCTGGAGGGTAGAGAGGGAAGTGTGTCGCAGCACATCTAAAGGCAGATACATTTAGCCACTGCTGAATGGGGCAGGGAAAACTGAAGCAAACGAAAGACTAAACCAAAAACCCTGGGAGAAGTGGAGAACAAGATGCGCTGGGGAGCAGGGCGTCTTTCCACACGTTCCTCACCCCCACCAACAAGATGGAGTCTTGCTCCGTTGCCCAGGCTGGAGTGCAGTCACGTGATCTCGGCTCACTGCAACCTTCACCTCCTGGGTTCAAGCACTTCTCCTGCCTCAGCCTCCTGAGTAGCTAGGATTACAGGCATGTGCCACCATGCCTGGCTGATTTTTTTTTGTATTTTTAGTAGAGACAGGGTTTCACCACCTTGGCTAGGTTGGACTCAAACTCCTGAGCTCAGATGATTCATCCCCCTTGGCCTCCCAAAGTGCTGGGATTACAGGTGTGAGCCACTGCGCCCGGCCTCCACACATTCCTAGAAGGCCATGCACATATCCAGGGATGAACACATGCTGAGAAAAGATCTGAGAAGGCACCAAGCCCTCACCTTTGACCTCCAGGCTCTGCATAAGCAGGAACTGAAGGCTAAGGCAGAGTTGTAAAGTGCTTTAGCTGAGTGTTGAAGGCATGCTCTAACATATAATTCAGATCCATCGACAAAGACTAGTAATCTTTAGGGTTTCAGGTATTTAAGAAAATCTCTGACAAATTAGTCACAAGCTGAACATTACGCTAACAGAACAGAGACTTCAGTGGCCACACATAACAAATATGGATATGACAAAATTAGTGCAGAAATGTCACTAAACAAAAGAAACAATACCAAGTATAAGAAACCTTGGGGATGGGAAAATCAGGTTTACAGAACTGCCATATTGTCATATTCTGAAAGTAGTTTTCAGCAAATAAATTATGAGGCACATAAACAGAAATGAAACTGCATTATAGGAAAAAAAGAAATGAACAGAAATTGTCCCTAAGGAAACCTAGTCATTGGATTTATTAGGCAATAACTTCAAATCAACTATTTCAAATATGCTCAAAGAGTTAATGGAAATTGTGTACAAAGAACTAATGGAATCAGGAGAATGAATTCTCACCAGAGAAAATCCTAAAGAGATGGAAATTATAAAAGGGAGCCAAACAGGAATTTTAAAATTGAAAAATATAGTATCTGAAATGAAAAATTTACTAGAAGGGATTCATCAGAAGACTTGATCAGGAGGAAGACACAATCAGTGTGAACTTGAAGACAGGTCAGTAAAGATTGCTTGATCTGTAATGCAGAAATTAAAAAGGGAAAAAAAAGAACAGAGCCTAAGAGACCCAGAAGACATCATCAAACATCCGAATACACATAACGGGAGTTGCCACTGGAGAGGAGGCAGAAAAAGGAGCAGAAGGAATATAGGAAAAATAGGTCAATCACGGTAGCTCACACCTGTGTTATAGTACTTTGGAAGGCTGAGGTGGTAGAATCATCTGAGGTCGCGAGTTTGAGACCAGCCTAGCCAACATGATGAAACCCTGTCTCTACTGAAAATACAGAAATTAGCCAGGTGTGGTGGTGTGCGTTTGTAATCCCAGCTATTCAGGAGGCTGAGGCAGGGAGAACTGCTTGAACGCAGGAGGTGGAGGTTGCAATGAGCTGAGATCTTGCCAGTGCACTCCAGCCTGTGTGACAAAGCAAGTCTCTG